AACTAGGAGCATTTACAAAGTTCGAACATTACAAACCATTTAACTTCAGTGGATTCTTATCGGATATTAGTATTTTTACAAAAATATTATATACCTTTACGGTGGAAAACTCGGCATTTGTGGCTGGTAAATAACGAAGGACAAAGCTAGCTAGCTCCTGTTAAGCGAATTGCACCAACATCAACTCGTAATTAACTAGCTCAATGTGAACCCTCAATAACATAAAGGAAGTTCCAGACTAGAAAGGAATTCTTGTATATACATCAGTGTTTGTAATAACTATTTGTAATAACTGTTATTGTAAACTGTATTGTTGTTTGTATATTGAAACATTTGTGTTAAAAAAAGAAAATTGTTTGTATCAACCTTGTTGGCAAATATCATAAACTGACTATATATCGGCTTTTCCTTAACTGCTAAATCCAAAGTACAATTTAACTACTAAATTTAAAGTATCATTTAACTCAGTTTCAGACCTTTCAAAATTGTAATACATAACATGCTTCATAACTCATGTCATAAAAGAAATTTTAACAACTGCATTACAATATTTTGTAATTTATAAGTCATGTTTAAATATATGGTGCTTCAAGAGAAATTTTGTGATTAAAGTCATTTAAAATTAGAATTGTTGCATTAATCACTATGACTTAAAAGTCATTTTTTAACAAATATCCAGTTAGAAGTATTTTCAAATAATAAAGAAGAAATTATACCCAGGTTATTTGCCAAACTCCAGGCTTTCGAGACACTGTGATGACATCATAACCAGCTGTTCGAAGTACCTTGGAAAGGGCAGAACCAATAAATCCACTACCACCACCTTTCAAAAAAATTCAGAAAAAAATTAGCATTTCATAAAGCAGATTTAAAGAACTCTTGATCAATCATAACTTTCAAAAACAAGTGAAAATAAATAGTAAGGTTAAAATAATGAGGAGAAAAAGAAACTGGGCAGGAGCTTCATATGGAATTAACGTAATTAATTAAAGTAATGCATTTTTCTCATCCTCCAATAACACTTCATACCAAATAATAAACCACCTTCTTGGAGTTCTTTGGTAATTGGACTTGAAACTCCAAATCCTGATTATAATATTATATAAATTATAATCACTAAACTAACAATGGTGTAATTCACTTACTTTGATATTATTCTCATCTCTTACTAAATTTATATTCATACAATTTTTTTCAACCTTTATTTATTATTTAAGTTATACATCCATAATGTGCAGCCTATTAGTAACAATAATTTATAAATTAGAGCCGGCATCTGGCTATTTATGTTAAGTACAATATACTTACTGTTATTTAGCAAGTGTTCATCACTGAAATAGCAATACTCTGAATATAATTTTTGCACTGTAACTAGTGAATAAGATTATTATTTAAATGTTTATAAAACTAAGAAATGGGATGTGAAATTATGGAGAGTTAGTATTACCTAAATTTCATAACGAACACATGGAATTAATTCTAATGTGTCTAAATACCATTTAAAAAACATGAAACTTAACCAAATGTCTAGTAATAGTTCAACAACAACATTTCAGTTCATGTCAATAGCAATAAATGGTAAGCTTTAATTTTCTTTAAGAATTTTATGCTATCTCAAAAATTCCCATACAAAGTTGAATATTTTTTATTCATAAAAGCTATTTATATAAATTATCTGGCTTGAGAACTTGGCTCTAATATAAGATTTATCTCAGCAATTTCAAAACCTCATGTTACATTATGTTTTAAATATTTCTTAGACATATTCCAATCATTATTAGAAGGTTGTCAATGTGATCACTGTTTCCAAATACAAATTATCATGAGGGGGTCTAGTAAACTATACACTAATTAGTATGACTTCTGTATTTAGCAAATTATTAGATCCTGTTGTCAGAAGTCAATTAGAAAAGTATTTGACAAGCTTTTATTTGATTAGTGATTATTTGCTTGGTTTTAAAAAAGCTGTCTTTTCTTACTAGCTTGTTAGCTTCCATATAATTTTTTTTAACAGGCATCCTAGTAGTTACTGTGCATCTTAATTTTCATAAAACTTTGATAAAGTACTTGTGGATATGGAACAGGTAAAAAAATACACGGGTTAATAATGAAAATGAACTTAAGGGTGTTAAATGAGCATTTTACAGAGTGAAAAATTGTGAATAGTGCAATTCTTCAGGGCTATTTATGGAAGACTTCTTCCACAGTAACATTTCTAAATTTGCTACTGATAGTGATATTAAGATGCTAGGAAGAGCCAATTCTTTTAAGATTGTTTCTCATATTATAAACGATTTTGACAGTCTTGGTAAATGGAAAAGAATATGATTAGGGAGCTTTAATACTAAGAAATACATAAATATGCACTTGGGGGTAGAAAAATTTGGAAATATCTCACTTTTTGTGGGAGAGGTGCATTGGTGTCTAACCTTCTAAGAACATGTGTGATTATCTGTAAAAGGAAGAAGTTAGCATTTCATTTCCAAGGGATAACAATAAGCCATTTGCCTTACCTAGGATATCCCATTTTCTATTACCACCCTACTCCAAACTATGCCTAAAAAACCCCTTCTCATATATTCCCCACAACCTCTAAAATATCATCTGGAATTATGAATTCCAAGCCCTCGACATGTTGGAAAAAAGAGCAGAATTCGATTATGACAATAATAGAGTTAAAATGTTTTAAACATTTTGGAATAGTTCACACTTCTGAACTTATTTCCTTTGGAGCACAAAAGAACTAAAGACCTGTTTAATTTATTCTTAAACTTACTGATTGACTTGCTAGTTGATATATCTGCAATTTGAGCTCATTTAAAACCTTTGATGTATAATATTTTAGTAATTTAAATTCAGTCATTTTCAGTGATTAGTTTACATAATCACTATTCAGCTTCTTAAATAGTTCTAAAGTTACTTAGTTAGTGATGTACTACTTTTCAAGTTAGCTAATCAGCAATTTATCAAAAGTATAAATGATTATATAAGCTACTACTAATCATGAGGCATTGTCACTTTTGAAACATTACTGTATAGGAACATGAATTAGAAAGGCTACATTTAGTTATATTTTAGTGTTTCAGTTGCATATTTTACTAGAAGAGGTCTGAGCAATCTCACTTTCAGTACATTTTCTCATTCAAGTTATTGACTCAAAATATTTGACAGTACGCTTAGTATAGTAGTCCAGTACAACTACATAATATCAATAGTAATAGCATTACTAGTACTACTAGTAGTAGTTATACAATGATATATCATGAACTGTATTGTAAATGTAATCACAGTTATAAATATTATAAACTATGGGTTAGTGGAGATCACTGCCACAGATCAGGCTATGTTGGAGGACTTCCTATGAATAATTAAGAAAGAAAATTACACTTAAAACTCGTGTTAACAAAAAATATATAGAAATTTAACCAAATTAAAAATCCGATATGAATAATGCTAATACTAGTGATACAATTTACAAATGGTATTGGTACAATGGCAGTCGTAGTTCTACGTACCGACCAACACCGTTCCAAACCTAGAAGCCATTTCACTTTGCAGTCCAATATTACATTTGCATAAAACCTAAACCTGTGCGAATAAAAACAGTTTATCAAACTTCTAATGCGAACAATTATGGGAAGTATTTCGACTACCGTTAATCCATAAAAATTTAGTCTACTAGTGCAAGAACAATTCGATTTGACATTAATCTACCCAAAGGTTAAAGGCTATGAGATATCAAAGTTGCGCCATCTAAAGAATAAGAAGGTGTAATAAATAAATATATATATATGTGTGTGTGTGTGTGTCTAGATAAATATATAAATTATTTATGAGGACAAAATATTGTACAAAATAGTCTGGAAAAGGTAGCCATACACTCTCCATCTTCGAAAAGAGGGTTCATCAGGAGTGGAATTTCTATTCATCGTTGACTTTGCGCGCTTCTGCCAATCACAGTATATATTTCACCTGTTATTCTTAAATGAAATTGCTTCGTTGTTCGCAGCTGGTTCGACATTATTAAATGCGTTTAATCTGTATAATTAGGGCAAGCCCCCAACTAGGACATTTTGCTTTACAATGTGTTTATTTTTTTATATGTAGTACTGTGTTTTAGTACTTATGGTGAGGTGTGACGATTGGGCGCTAAGGAAAAGAGAAAATATTGGAATGAGTTATACTGTTATAGATTTTTTATTATTATTTAATACTAATATTATCATTTGTAATGATTTGGGTTGAATAACAAAAGATTAAGTAGATATAGTGAGACTGGTAAAAAAATACTCGGGTTAATGTTTTAAATTAGAGCTCAGTGGTACAATCTGAACTACAACTACAAGTTACAACGTTAGATTAAGATTAGGACACGAATTGTACTTTTAGGCTTAGCTGTAATTAATCTTACAGGTAAATCGTAAAACGGGTTAAGTACATTGTTTTAGTAAATAAATACAATCTAAAGAGTAGTTCAATCTAAGTTTCAAATGGACAGCAACTGCCTGTTGTAGAAAACTACAGATGTAGAGGACGACGTTTCGAAAGTCTTCCGCCTTTCGTCTTCAGGTGTAGATTTGGTGTATCTGGATTTTCAGAAAGCATTTGATAAAGTGCCACATAAAAGGCTTGTCAAAAAACTATATCTGTGGGGGGTGGATAAGTTAGTTAATTGGATAGAAGAGTGACTGGATGGAAGAAAGCAGAG